ATATAAATTTAGCTCAATTGATGTATGTTAAGAACTATGATTTAAAATGATCAAGATGTCCTAAAGATTACATTCTACAGTCGTTAAAGTACTTTATGTTATTTTATAGCAGGTTTTAAAGATCTCCAACTCTTTCTACAAAAAGTATTATACATTTGCTGTAATCAAAAGCTGTGGAAGTTATCAAGGAGTTACCATATCCATTATTTCCAAAACCATATGACTAGATTTCATAGTAATAATTAGCATCACTGTTGACTTGGTAAAATACAGTCCTGCTGAGTTTTAGGGACAGAGGTTTGAGATTTTTGTTAAGGGATTAGTGGACAGGGAAATTTCTACAGAGATGCAGCTTATTTTAGAGGGCTACAACTCCTATCCAGCAGGGGACCAGGGATAAACCTGAGAGTCATCCTCATTAGGTGTTGATATCTGAAGTACAAGCTGACTGAAGACTTGGACATGAGGCCATGAACTAGACCCTATGACAGAACTGGCTGAGAGTGGAAGTGGTATCTTCAATGATTTTAGAACTGTGAATGGGCTATGGAGGAGCATGTTTGGAGAAATTCTATGCAATGTTATCTATTACATGGGTAGACACAGGTGATTAATGTGAAAATTATGAAATTAAAAGACAGAAGAAAATTAATGAGTTGTGATAAAAACAAATTTCTTGTAGCTTTGCTCTTTTAATTTTATTTATTTTTATTTAATGTGTATGAGTGTTTTGCCTGCATAAATATAAGTGCATCCATGTCATGCAATGCTGCCCATGGATGCTTGAAGAGGGCAGAGGATCCTCTGGAACTGGAGTTAAGGACAGTTACTGGCCACCATGTGGGTGATGAGACTGGACCTGGGTCCTCTGCAAGAGCTGCAAATGCTCTAAACCACTGAGCCATCTCGCCAGCTCTTGGAGCTTAGCTCTTGCTCTTCAGACTCCAACAGGTACATCTATGGTGCTTAGACATTCACATCCCTTTTCCTTATGAGATAGGTGCATGTTATCTCACAGTATCATGAGAAGTAAAATATTAAAAGATATTTACAGAGAAGCCATATTCACATGTCTTTTAATTTTTTGTTACATCTCTGTGTGTGTGTGTGTGTGTGCGTGTGTGTATACACATGTGTCACTGTGCATGTAGAGGTCAGAGGACAACTTGCAAGTGTCAGTTCTCTCCTACCACACAAGTCCTGGGAATTGAACTCAGATCCTCAGGCTTGGAGGCAAGCACTTAACCTGCTGAGCCATCTTCCCAGCCCTCACCTATCGTTCATTAGAGTATATTCCTACAATTCTTCAAGTTTGTCTCTTCTAATTGTGAATTCCCTACTGTGCATAAGTTATAAGTTAAACCCAAGCTAAACTTCATTATGCATTTGTAAAAATGAGGGGAAAACAACATAGACAGGATTCGGTATCATCTGTATTTTCTGCAATCCATTGACTATCCTGGTATGTATCCTTTGAAGATGAAGATAACTGCAGTTCACGCTAGTTTTAGGGGACAAAAATATGTAGATATCTTGCAGAAGGGAATTAGTTACATACTGTTTAAGGTGACTACAATGTGAATGATCATTGTGCCAGGTTTTTGTGGTAGATTTTTTTCCTTGCTTGCAGAATTTCTGAGAATTAATTATAAGAGCCCAAGGCCAAATTACTGGTCCCATAGTCGTATAAATATATATTTCAAGATCTTGTCCCAAATTGAGAGCAAGAATTTTACCTGTCAACATCCCTCATTCCTGGTAGATACAAACTTTGAAGGAAGTAGGGGGATGTCCCAGAGGAACAGCAAGTAGACAACATCTTAGCTGGTGTCACCAAACCTGGATTACATCTCTAATGTACTGAAAGTTGTCTCCTGAAATTTACATGTTGAAATCCCAAGTCCAAGCACTCCCAGGTTGAAAGAAGTAATTAAATTAAGTACTTAGCATCAGCTTAAAGCCAACATGACAGATGTTCTTGTAAGAAGAAAAGACTAGGACACAGACACACACAGAGGAAGAGCATGAAAAAGGAGATCTGCAAGCTTAGGAGAGTCCCTGGTAGAAAACAACGCTGAGCTGACATCCCTTGACTTTGAATTTCAGCCTCTAGAATTCAGAGAAATGGGCTTCTGTTGTTCAAACTATTCAGCCCATGGTCCTTCGCTGTGGGAACTCTAGCAAACGAATGCCTTCCTACAGAAGAAAAGGAACAGTGGGGGAAGAAGAGCGAGAGCTCGGCACAAACCAGATTAGAAATTTCACACCAAAGATGGCACAAAAAATTTGCAGATTGGAAGACACAAGTGCATGTGCCAAGGGCATGTATAAAACACAGACAGAGATGACATATGTAAACTTTGATTACTCATTACTCAGTGTGACAAATCTCTTTACAATACTTTAACTTGCCCATGACTTTTTTTTCCTCACTCAATTGAAAATTTGCTGTTTCTACAATTCAAAAAGAGTTTATTGGCTTCTTACATTTAATTTCATCCTCATTTACTAAATTTGAAAATATCTTACTCTGAAAACAAACTCATGGTTGATGAATGTCCCTTTAAAACTTCCCCACTTAAAATAAGCTTTATGGCTTTCCTAAACCAAGGATAAAACAAAGCATAAATCAAAGGATTCATGGCTGAGTTGTAATAGGCAATCCAGCAACAAATTTCATAGACATATGCAGGGGTGATGAAGCCCATAAAAGCATCGACCAGTGTGTCAATCGTGTATGGTAACCAGGAGACCATGAATACGACCACCGTGACCCCTAGGGTTTTTGCAGCCTTTCTCTCTCTCTTGGCTACTCTGGCTTTGTAACTCTTTGAGGACAATTCTGCTTTGCTGCTCCCTGTTGTAGTTTCAATTTTTATAGCTTGTTGTTTGGCTATCAGAAAAACCCTACTGTAAAGAATGATCATAACAAGGGTAGGTATGAAGAACAGAAGAAAATCTATCAAAACCCAATCTTGATTGACAACAATTTGACAGCCACCTACACAGCTGAGAGCACTTACTAAGTTTTCCATCCCTTTGGCACTGATCCCTGTGTAGAACACGGCACTGCTGTACACCAGGGGCAAGAACCAGGAGAAGCTGATGCACATTCCTGACGCAGACACTGTGAACTTGGTGGGATAGGCCAGAGGGTCAGTGACAGCGATGTACCTGTCGATGGAGATGAAGCACAGGTGGAAGAGAGAAGAGTAGCAAAACGCCGCATCACAGCAACTGTGAAGGCTGCAAAGTTTGTCTCCAAAGTACCAGCAGCTTTCAATGGACCTGACCATGCTGAAGGGCATCACAGAAATGCCCACCAAAAAGTCAGCGCTGGCCAGAGAGGCGATGAGGAAATTGGCTGGAGAGTGCAGCTGCTTGAAATGAAGAACTGAAATCACCACCAGGAGGTTTCCACACACAGCCAGCACAGCCCCCAAGCCAAAGACTGCATACAGGATGACCCGGACCCCAGGAGAGTAGGGAGTTTTAATGCAAGATCCATTCACATCCTCATAGCAGAACTGCAGGGTTGTTTGGGAAACGTTGCTGGCCATGGTACTGCTGACTGATGCTTGCTGGATTCCTGTTCTTAGAGACAAGAACAACAATTTTGAATTCTGAAATTTTAAAGAATGAAACCTTATATTTTGAGAATTAATTTTCAGTGTTACCCAGGTTATATTCCTTTTTTATTTTAATTTCAAAAGCAAAAATATAAGCCAGGAAAATGTTTCTATAACTATAATTAACATGTGTCTTTACTCCAGGTCTATGAAATATAACCTTAAACTATCTTTGTATGTCAAATATGTCAACTATGAAAACTATGTCCAGGGAACACATTACCTAAATAATTGAAGAAAAACAATTTAAGTTATATTTTGAAAACTGAAATAAAAAAAATCATACTATCTATGCAAGCACCTACTTGAAAGTGTTGCTTTGGATCATATCCTTTTAGGTATAATGAAGAATAAAAATAAATTTGAAATTCATAACATCATTTTGTAACTATAATCACCTAATAAATTTCTAGATATTTCTAAACTTCATAATTAATCACAATCAAGTGTTCTATGAGTTTTTATCAGTCCAGAAATCTCATTATCTGAATAATTCAGAAAATTTTACTTATACCTGTTTGTTTACCACTGTGGAGGTCTTCATCACAAAAGATAATCACATATGAATAATTATTAGAGATGTAAGCTTTTAAGGGTTTCTACCTCTTAGGATTATTAGACAGCTAGCCAACCGATTTCACCCATTTAACTCTTCACAAGCAGTCCCTATAGTATGAGGTGTGACTCATGAAAGGAAACTTAGTTTTGATAATTATGACTACTAAGTTTTTCTCTGAAGCTGCTTTCTTTGTGCTGTGTCACATGCTTCTCATGTGCACACCCAGATTTCTTTTAGTTCAATACTCCTCAAATTGCCCACCCAGTATTTGAAAAAAATGTAGTATATTACCTATTCATAAATCAGTGTTCATATTTTATAAGGCTCAGGACAAAATGAAAATAAACAAAGGAAACATACTTATTAAAAAATATGAGGAAAAACCATGAAAAGTCTAAATCATGAAGCTTTCTCTTATGTTGTATGGTCTCTCTTGACCTGTCTTGGAGTTCTAGATTTGCTGTGTGATGTCCCACTTCCTTAGGTACAAATCTGTTTACACAGGGTACATGAAAAGCCTCACAGATGTCTACATGTTCTGCCCCAAAACTTAGCATTCATGTGGTTCAGTCATTGCCATGTTCAATTATTGTTAGCAGGTGAATCAATATTCCATGGCCATGATGGGCAAGGAAGTTGAGTCAGGCATCTGTTTTCTCATGAACCTGAAGCTTCACCCAAAGGTCCATATGAACTCTAAGGATTTTTAAACACCAAACCAGAAAGGACATGGACTGATGGAGGGGGTAAGGGGCTTGCCAAGTTATTCATGACAGTGTTCTGAACCAATCTACCTAGGATGAGGATATAGACTATGCCTAGTGCTAAGACTTACCAGGAACACTTCCAGACCTATGTAATGGTGATAATGGATGGCAGGGTAGTTAGGGTAGAGAGATAATCCTGATGAGGCTCAGGGTACCAGGAGAGTTAGGAAGCAGGTGGTTGGTTGAGTCTATCAAAAAAAGAAAAATAGGATTTGTATGATATAGGACCATAGGTGATTCAAGGTTTCAACATGTAATATAACCCATTTTCCCTATAGACACTATTGAATGCTACTGAAATGAAAACTACTCAATTATTCTTTTGTTTGTTTTCCTTTTTTGTTTGTTTTTGAGGCAGTGTCTCACTATGCAGTCCTGGATGGCCTGGAACTCACTATGTAGAATAGTTTGAACTTGAACTCAGAAAGATCTGCCTACCAAGTGCTGGAATTAAGGCATGTACCACCACATCTAATATGAAAATTATTCTTTAGAAAGATAAAAAGCAACCAAGCTATATAAACAATGTAAACAGAACCAAAATTAAGTTAAACAAAAGCAGAATAGAAGTTCCTACTGGATACATAACCAACAAAAAGATCATCCACACACCCAAATGGCAGTGCAAAAGCACAAATAGTATAAAAACCCAGAGAATATATCCCTAACAAAAACTACAGAAGTGCACTACAAGGAGAACCATCCTGTGAAGCTCCAGAATATAGAATTTAAAAGAAAAATCACAAACATGGTTAAAGAACTTAAAGAAAAACAGACAAACAACTCAAAGAACTTAGAGAGGAAAGGCATAAACTTATGATGGAAGCCCAAGAATATAAAAATGTGGCTTAATGAAATATCAAAACAATCCATGACTTGAAAAGAGAATTCACAAAAGAGATATAAATAGTGAAGAAAACCCAAACAGAAATGAAAATGGGATTGAAAAACTCAATGAACAATTAGAAACAACAGGGGAAAACCTCACAAGTAGAATGAATGAAATGGAAAACAGAATATCAAGACTGGATGGTAAAGTTGAAGATCTGGACTCCTTAAGCAAGGACAATATAAAATTTAAAAAAAAAACCCCACAGGAATGGATTAGTCAGGAAATGTGGGACAACATAAAAAGACCAAATCTATAAATTACAGGCACTCAGGAAGGAGAAGAATCTCAGGCCAATGACACTAAACAAATCCTCAACAGGATTATGGAAAGAAACTTCCCTAAATTGAGGAAAGACTTACCTATAGAGATTCAAGAAGCACAGAGAACACCAATTAGACATGACCAGAACAGAAACTCCCTATGGCATATCACAGTAAAAACAGTAAATAAACAGAACAAAGAGAGGCTACTGATAGCTCCTAGAGAAAAACAACAAGTTACATATAAAGGAAAACACATCAGAATTACAAATGACTTCTCAATACAAACTATGAAAGCCAGAAGAGCATGAACTAAAGTATTCCCAGTTCTAAAAGATCATGGATACCAACTCTGAATATTTTATCCAGAAAAACTATCTATCATGATTGGAAAGGAACAGAAAATTTTTCATGACATGAATAGACTGAAAGAATTCATGTCCACCAAATCAGCTCTACGGAGAATACTCAAAGCAATACAAAGGACCAAAAAAAGGAATAAGTATACCCAAGAAGCTAAAGAAAGAAAAAAAAGGTGTAATATCTGAAACACAAGAGGGCTATGAACACAAAGAAATTAAATTGACAGTATCCAATACACATCTTCCAGTAATAACACTAAATATCAACGGCTTCAATTCCCCTGTCAAAAGACATCGTTAATGGAATGGATCAAGAAAGAAAACCCATCTTCTTGTCTTCAAGAAGCTCATCTCACCTTCAAGGATAGACACTACCTTAGGGTGAAAGAATGGAAAAAATTATTACAGGCAAATGGCCCTAAGAAGCAAGCAGGTGTTGCAATTCTAATATTTGACAAAATAGACTTCAGATTAAAACTAATAAGAAGAGATAAAGAAGATTGGTTCTTTCTAATCAAAAGAACTACTGACCAAGAAGACATTGCAATAATGAACATGTATGTACCAAACTATGGAGGACCCAATTTCATACAAACAGTATATCAGGACTATAAAACAGATTAATCCCAACTCAATAATAGTAGGGAACTTTAATAGACAGGTCAACTGGACAAAAAATAAACAGAGACATATGAATTAAATTATATATTACATGAAATGGACCTAACAGACATTTACAGAATATTTCACCCAAGGACCAAAGAATATACTTTCTACTCAGAAGCCCATGGAAGTGTTCCTAAAATTGACCACATTCTGGGCCAAAAAAAGCTCAACAATTACAAAAAACTGAAATAATTCCATGCATTCTATCAGACCACAGTACAATAAAGTTTATAATCAACAGCAAAAGAAGGAGGTTAAATAACACACTCCTGAATGATGAACAGGTCAAAGAAGAAATTAAGAAAGAAATAAAAGTATTCCTGGAACTAAATGAAAATGAGAAAACAACACAACAAATCTCCAGAACACCTTAAAAGCAGTACTAAGAGGGAAGTTTATAGGTATTTGTGCTTACATTAAAAATTCAGAAAAAACACATGTAAATGATTTAACAGTACAACTCAAGACTCTGGAAATGCATTAACAAACCAACCACAAACCTAGTAGATGAGAAGAAATAACAAAAATCAGAACAGAAATCAATGAAATAGAAACAAAGAAAACAATACAAAAAAAAAATCAATGAATCCAAGACCTAGTTCTTTGAAAGGTTGATTTTTGCTGTTATGATAAACACCATGACCAAAGCAACTTGGGAAGGAAATGGTTTGTTTGATTTATTTTGCCTTACAGCTTACAGTCCAATATGGAGGGGAGCCAGGGCAGGAACTCAGGGAAGGAACTTGGAGGCAGGAACTGAGGCACAATCCATGGAGGAACACTGCTTACTGGCTTGCTTTCCCTGGCTTGCTCAGCTGCTTCTTCTATACAGTCCAGGCCCTCCCGCCCAGGGATGGTACTGCCCTCAGTTAGCTGGGCCCTCCATCAACCAGCAATTAAGAAAATGCCTTGCAGACAGGCCCACAGGCCAATCTGGTTGGGGTCAATTTCAGTTGATATTCTCTCTTCCCAGGCATGTCAGGTTGACAACTGAAGGTCTCTAGCACATCTTTATTCTGTACATTTGGATTTCTGTTATCTTTGATGGAGACTTAGATTTATGCTTCTGTCTGAAAACTTTGCTTTTAAACTAATTTTATTGAACATGTTTTAAAACTATCTCAAATAGAACATCTTTATGAACATTTTCCTACAGAGAACACCCATAAATTATGATACAAATTATGTTTAGTGGCTTCTTTATCACCTTTCAGTTATGAACATCCATAGGTCCATTTTTCTCTGTGGTGTTTCTGCACAGAACTTCAATAAGAACATCCATTTTGATCTCTGTTTTATAAATAAGAAAACACCTACACAAATAAGTGATTTAATCAAAGTAGAAGCCAATGGATGATGGAGATGCATTAATCCTGGCTCAAGGGGTATGCTCTCAACCTTTAGCTTGTGCAGTCTTTTCAGATAGAAGAAACTTCTCAAAACTAATCTTGCCTG